TGAAATTGTGAGAAATTGCAATTCTTACCTGTGTTTTAATACATGTATTATTACTATAGTAACCTAACTGTGTATGCTCTCTGAAAAGTCATGAAAAGTGTTTTGAATCCTAACTTGTAGGGTTGAGTCTAGGGTTGAGATAGTGTCATCAGACATGAGAATATGGCCCACAGTATGCCTCAGATTGCAGGAAAATGGCTTAAATATTTCAACATTTTCTGGGAGGCATGCCCCCAGACCCTCCTAGCACTGGCATGCCTACGGCACGCGGTCCTGCCTGCGGCAGCCAAGGTTAATTTCGCCCCCGGCTATCGTCGATCATCCCCCCCACTCCTCGGTACGGATTTACGCCCCTGAGCTCATTAGTCGTTATAAGCATCCCGGGACAAACAATTCTCTGCTCAACACCCGTAGCGACATGTGAAGCAAGCAACAAAAAAACTTACTTATCTAGCAGTCATAAACCAAAACAAACATTTACAAATAGCGTTTGTTCTCTTATTTTGAAGGTTTTCTTCAGTCAAAGCAAATCGAAGCAGCCAATCAGAAGGCGCTAAATTCTTCGCTATGTTATACCGTTTTGGGAAAAAAATTTCGCGGGCCGCCTACTTCATAAAACGAGCCTCGAGGCCACGCGTGACGCGGCAGCTTTTGATGTACACGATCGATTGATCGCGTACTATATCCGGCCTGCGTAGCATGCGCGGCATACATTTGATCACGCTCGCTCCGCGAATTGCTCGCTCTCTTTTGAATGAGATTAGCACGTAAGAAACAATTATTTTTATCACATACACTTTGAAATTTTAGTGGCCCGATCGAGCCACCAAATTTTAACTTTTTGAAATTTTGGTGGCCCCGGACCACCGGGCCACCGCTAGTGTCGAGCCTTGCTTTAACGACCGCATGTTAACTGTGAAATTTTATCGCGAATTAAATTAATCGCATTGGATGCACACGTACCATGTTCCAAATCCATTGAAGCCCAGAGCCTGAATGATTGATACGACGAATTGGAAGAAGAAAATGAAGAAGAAAAAGAAGAAATTGAATGAGCTGTCACTCCTGTGGAAAATAGAAAAAATAAAACTCATTAGATAATTGGTAGATTACATAAACATATATATATATATATATATATATATATATATATATATATATATATATGCATATGTAATCTATTTACAATAATTCCACAATGTACTAACTACTGTGAGTGGCTTCAGCTCCTGATCACGTTTTCAAAGGCAATACTAACAGCTCATTAAGTAATATATTTAGCTGTTTGAAAATTTCATACAGTATTAGTAACCCGCATTACGTGAGCAATGCATTCCAGAAATTTTTTTTTGTAATGTGACTTCCTATAATGTAAATCACGTATTTCCCATTGGCTTCCAGTTATATAATTAGAGACACGTCCCTATAGAAATATATTTTGGCTAAAACGAGTCTTTCGGCGAGACCAATTATGAATGCAAGTAAACATTTTGAAACCCACTTATTGATTCATCTGTTTCGCGCATTTACATGCGATAATTCACGCACCTGAATGCCTTGTAGACTGGTCTGTACCAGCACACAAATGCAGCCGGTGTGAAGAGCACAAAGAAGAGGATGGAAAGTCCAAACGTAGTCGGACTTCCGCCGGTGATCCAGTAGGCCAGACATCCGAGGATGTTGAGAAACATGAGGCAAGCGTAAACTGAAGACAACATGGAAAATGGGTGCCATTATATAGAGGCAGTTTCACTGTATAACTGCCACTTATGAAAAACCAAGTGTTCTTTACAAACAGGTACCAACTCTATAGAGGGGATTGCTAATGCTAACACAGGTTTGACCATGTTAGTTATGAATACAATTCAAAATCCAGGGGACAAACTTAAATCAGATGTTGCCTTGAGTTTACTCAGAAATCTTAGTACACTAGGATGGAAACTATGGCACGTGAGGGCAACCATGGCGTGTAAGAAGAACAACCACAATAGTTGTCATCGATGCTCGAGGCAAAATTAATGCTTCACACACTTACACATCCACAGATAGTAGAAGATCTTGACAATGTTCTGAAACTCTGTCGGGATGTCCACACTGAACTCCTGGTAGAAACAGGGACCACACGGGCAGAAGCCCGGCACCGGTGGCCAGTTATTCTGTCGAACTGCAGCAATAAATATCAAATAAAGTTGAGTCTCAATTATCCGACATAAAGAGGATGTACATAAATACTAAGGCGGATGTCGAGCATTGCTGATAATGCAGAAAGGTGGCTGGGGTGAATGAAACTGCAGATTAAATGGAAATGTGGTATAACTAAGAAATCTGGTTTATTAATAATAATTTTACAGTATAATTAAAATGATAGGGTAAACAACTATTTGTTAGTTATATTGCAGGGTGAAAAACTGACAATTGGAGGCACTGGTCCGGCAGGACCAGTGCCTCTGAGAAGCAGCTGGTCGTCAGTAGGCACTCCAGATTTCTGCCTAGCAAAGTGAATGACTCGGAGTGGACGTTTTATTAGGGGTATGGGTGCAATTTGCTATGTGCCATTCAAGTATTCTTTAATTAATAAATGAATAATATTATAAATACTAACAAGGGCATTAAAACATACAACAATAAATATAATAATAAATATTATATCATTTTTCATTAGTTGGATGGTGCTGCCATCTATCATCTACTAAATACGCAATCTTGATTCGTTACAATAATATCAACGAGTGCATAATAAGAGACAGAGGTATGACACTGGTTTTAAACAGCTTTTGCCGCATAGTTTCTAACTGAAAACTTCTATTCAATATTGATAAATATACTTCTAAACTTTACCGTTGTTTCGTCTATGATTCTCCCTTAATCATATAAACACCACAATTTACCTGAAAATCGTATGTGTCTTCAAAAAAATTATTGAATACGAACACGTTTCGCTACAGTTTTCACCATGATGCATTGTTTCAGACCCAAACTTTGTTATCGGATTAGTGTTCTCATGTCTATTACGCGTACCTGAGGCCTAAGGAATCAGCGTAGGCTACTTCGGCCTAGCACATTTATTTTGGCACCTGCGAAACGCTGCACGCCTGATATACATTCGATGCCTAATACCCATACGGCCCCCAAAGTTCCGTCATAATCAACTTAGAACACTAATCCCATAAACCAAATGTTTGTCTAAAATGCCATCTCATGCCGGTGAAAAACTGTACGAAACCTGTCGTATTCAAATAACTTTGAAGAACACATACGATTTTCAGGTTAAATTGCCTGTGTCATATGATTAAGGAAATCTTATAGACACAAAACAAGCGAAAGTTTGAACGTATATTTATTCCATATTATACGAATAGTTTACAAGTTGAAAACTATGCAAAACGCCTTTAAAACCTGTCATACTCTCTCTAATGTAATGCACTCTTATAATATGACAGTATCTGATAGTTAATATAATATATGTTCCGTTTCTTTTTCAACAGCAAATAATTTTTACCTCGTTCGGAACACTGATCTAGTAAATCGAAACCCAATCCGCCAAGTCGATTTAAAGATCAGCTCCTGAAAGACCGCCATTATTCCTATAAATTATATCATATTTATTATCGATCGCTTATGGATCGGCGCGTATTGCCATATTTATCATATTAGCCAACGTTTAACAACAGACCTTAAAAATCGAACACAACAAAACATAGCGGTTCGTGTATCTTCGCATGGACTTAGCTTCGAATATGACTATTTAGTCTATATTTGATTAAATTACCATTAATTTCATTTGAATAAGTAGAAGGTTATACGGAATAACCAAAATAATCAGTTGGGTAAACTTTTAGTTCCGTTGCCGATCTAGTTGCCGCCCCGCCGGACCACTGACACGAGCAACATCGCCGCCGGATCGATTTCAATCCACTAGACACGTGCGACCCTAGTTCTCACCCTTATTGTTTAAAAATATACGTATTGAAGTTTGTTTTCCTAGATTTGTTTCTTTTCCCTGCCTGAAGGCTTTGTCAGCATCTCAATAACATGACATGAGTAATTTGCTCCTCTAGTGGTTGCATGATACTGACTGTTCAGGGGTTGCCTGTAGGAAGTGACACTAACTGTCAGGCGGTTGCCTGCCTAGAAAGTAACTAACTAACTTCAGATTGCCTCTTAGAATTAAAGGACCAGAGCCTAATTTTACTGCATACAAACTGTACTTACGTTAAAAAATCGTCTATACCCACACTATTTGTACCAGATATCCTGAATTTAATTGTTATATATTAATTACACATTCAACCCTCGAAATGTTGACGCCGCAACACCGCAGACCGTGCTCCACCCCCGAAAAAGTTGCCGATTTGACAATTTATTTTGCACGTCAAACGAGGCTAATCACAAAAGTGCCATATATTTATACCTAAAATGCCTATATCCGAACGATATTCATGTTAGGCAAATTTATCCATATTAAACTGAAACTATTATGTCGTTTATTAAAGATATTACAATCCTTTTGATTTTAAGATGAATTAAATAAACACCCGTCGCCTGTACCTTGGACTGGAAATGTTTTCGCAACTATCAATTGTGCCTTTGAGTCGCCACCTCGTTGTTAATCAAACTGTATCAAGTAGTTTAAACGTTTTTTAAAATATTTCTAATGTGATTGAATCCTGAAACTTTTTATGTAGCGTAATTATAACCTAAATTAGCTGAAAATAACCCTAGAACCTAGAGTAAACTCTCCCTTTAAGTCGACACTCACTGTGCATGTATCCCTGCTACGTGATACTCACTGTTCAGGGGCTGCCTGCCCAGCTCTGCCTCACGTCTGCTTAACTCTGCCTCCTTCCGCTCCAGCTCCTCCTGTCTTCTCTGCAGGTCGGACGTGTCTATGGGCTTTGCGGCAGCCTGGGTGTAAGGAGGAGGGTCCTGCTTTGCCGGCACCACCGCCGGCTGGCTCTGAGCCGGCGGTGGTTGCTGTTGCCCCTGCTAACGCACACACAGTGACATGGTTACATGATCTCACAATATAGCCATACCTGTAAACAATGCTAAAAATAGACAGCTTTGTCCCCCAGTCACGGACTGGTAACTTTTGAGCAGCACTGGCTATATAGTATTTGTATGTTATATGTTATATCAGGCGCAAATAAAAACAAAAGAGTGCAAAAATCATTCTAAATCCAATGTATGTAGCCCTAATACTACTCATACTGATTTACTAATACTGTTTTATTAAACGCGACCTGTTTTATTTAACACAACAGTTTTTTGAAAATTTCCAACATAAAATCAGATTCAACCACGATCAATTTCAGACAAAAAGATTGCATGTGTGCCCTTACAGGAATACATCGGCAGCACATCAGATCCATTTCATCTGTCTATTGATTACGTATAGCGCTGCGTAATCATTACGCCAAATTTACGCCTACGGTAATGTAACCGCCCCCCAGGCTCCGATGATGTTTGTATCTGAGAGGGGGGGGGGGGTAACCAAGATTCAATCAGTTACATCACAGCCTGCCATACATGAGATTAGTACACGCTGCCAGTAGCAGACGACGGTTGTCTCTGGTTTTGGCCATATTGCGACAAATACGCAGAGACCGGGGACACCGGGGACACCGGGGACCGGCATTAGAAATAGAATGGACAGCCTCACAAATTCAGTAGCCGAGCCAGAGTTTGTTTCCATACGATATCCTGTGAAAACGCATCACTCACCGAAAAGGGGTTATCTCCTTGTTGATTTGCAAACGGGTTGCTGTCAAATCCTGCCATTATGTATTGCGCGCCGTTTGCACTTAATCAAATTAACTGTTACGGTAATAAAACCGTAAAACTCAAACTGAATCTCTAAGAAACTGTCCACATCAACATTTTTCTTTTGCAGGAATGGCTGCCTGCGCGGATTGCGCGAACCGACTAACCAATCAAGTTGTCGGTCTTCAATCACGTGATCGTAAACAGACGGGGGCCGCCATATTGCCTCGTAATCGTATTTTGCTCATAGATTTCCACCTGTACAGTGGAAAATGTCGAATAACGGGGCACAGCAATCATATGCGAATGATAGGGCGTCTTCGACTGGCGATGCAGATGTTGGCATCGACCCGGCCAGCGGAAGTTTCTTCTCTGCTGACTACAAAAGGTTATTGACAGTTGGCTGATGTTACTCTGGAGTCTGATACTCAGTCTCATGTCATGAGTCATAATCCCATATATTCGTATTACTATTAGTATCACTATTAGTATTGCTGATAGGGTCTATGTCCTTCAGGGTACTGCTGGAACGTACCCTGGGTACGGTCCGGGATACCGGAACGTACCGTACCTCGCCTACTCCACTAACGTCGAGGGAGTCGCCTACGCCTACTCCCTAACCCTAACCCTAACTCTAATCCTAACCCTAACCTTAACCCTACCCCTAACCCAGGGCCCTCGCTACCCACTCGCTAATTCGCCAATGGCGAACAAATTAGTAATCTGGCGATTGAAAGTCTTATTTGGCGAAAAAAAGTGACGAACGTAATTTTCCCGTAATAAACATGACCCAGCAAACATCGATCCTATTTGATCGTCGAAACAGCAACGTTTCTTTTTGCGTGCCGGCACACTCGTGTCATTCCCGATTGCAGCTTTTTCCTCGATTCCTGGAAAGTTTTGCTGTCGCTCCCTCATACCAGCGCGGTGCCCACCCCTACATATACAGCAATAACCACACCCATGCGACTGTAACAATCAGTGCATTCGCCCCCCCCGTACTTCAATCAATGCCGCCCAGCCAGCAAGCACAGCCACGGACGTGGGTAACAGGGGTGTCGCGGGCTGCTTTTTTCGTTTTTTTTCCTTTTGCGTGAATGCGTAGGGCATGCGGAAGTGCAGGAGAATGGTTCCAGATGCGTGAGTCTCTCACGAAATGCGCAGCGTGAGACTTAGTAGGTCTGCTAACAGAGTAAGATTTAAACTAAAGGGTGACATTTTATTTTCGGGGTGCATCAAATGCAGTCTAAGACATTCAAATGTTTTAAATTTTGCTGGGGGAGACCCCCCAAAACCCCCCTCTACCTCTCTCCACCCGCGTCTGCCTGCAGAATCTACATTCGTGCCTACTGCACGGCGTGCAGTAGGTGCAGTAGACAACGCTGGTAATGCCCAGTTTGGGGAAAAACGCACATGATGGATTCAAAGGCGTGCGGCATTACCACCGTTGTCTAATTTTCCCTCAGAAGAAACCCTGGGGTTTAAAAAAGGCCTGTCTCCACACACGGCACGGCAATGATTTTTACTACGCATGTGCGTGCACGTGTGTGTGTGTGTGTGCGCACGCGTGCGTGCGTAGAGGTGTGTACTGTGTGTGAGGTACTGTAAAAGGTAGTAAAACTGATAAGTAATAACTGGGGAATATAGACAGCTTTGATGAGCAGCTAATTTTTCTGGTTCTGACAATAGCATCCCGAAGTTACAAAAGTAGTAGAGTATATGCATGTGCTGTGAAAACTCTTCTGTAAACTATTAGTATTACTGTAAATAACTATACTGTGTGTATAGTACTGTCTATACTGTCTATGCACGTTCGTGCGTATTGTGCGTCAGGTACTGTAAAAAGTAGCGGTTTGTAACCCTACCATCCACAACAGTTGATGTGGAGAAGGGTTTTAGCAGACATAATTTGGTTAAAACAGCTCTGAAAAATAACTTGAAAACAGAAAGTGTTTGTGACATTCTAACTATCAAAATTGAAGGCCCAGAAGAAGAGATGTTTGACTTTGAAAAGTGTTATGTCCAGCGGTGTGCCAAAAAAGATAGAAGAATTTTCCTGCCAGCAGTGAAGAAAAAAATTCAGACAATTTGAATGTCTCTGTCAGTCAGTCAGAGTCATGGTGGTGAATCATAGTGTTAGTGTCTCAGTCATAGACAGGTGGTGAATAATAGTTTGTTTGCATTAAATAAGTGTAGTTTTGTACTTCATGCATATAAAAGTTTGTGAAAAAATAAAGAAACGAAAAATTATTAAACGCCTTTTTGTGTTCATAAAATGTTAGGCTACAGATGTGGCTAACAGGAATCCAAATTGGCTAATGAAAATTGATTCTGGCTAATTGTTTGGCTACAGAAAAAAAATCCTAGCTAGGGTCCTGCTAACCCTAACCATATCATCTAGATAGTTACCAGGGTACGTTCCGGTATACCAAACCGTACCCAGGGTACGTTCCGGCAGTACCCTGGGGGACATAGACCCTATGAGCATTAGTATTAGTATTAATACTAATACTAGTACTAGTACTAGTATTACTATTACTATTAGTATTAGGTCTACTAATAGTAATACTAACAGTGACACTAACACTAACAGTTACTGTCTTACTCCGTCTTAGTGACAGTGTTATTTACGTTTCCGATACTTTCATTGTTAATGTTATTGTTATCAATACTATTCTTGTTAGTGCTACTAGTAATAGTAGTATTACTGTTAGTGCCCATAGCACAGGCACTTGAAACGTCTCAATAAAAAGGTAAATCAACACGAAATGTATTTACTACCAGTCTTAATGTTTCTCTACTCTATTTCGCCTATTATTGCCGATAATTACCCGTAAATGCCAGTCAAATGCTCATCTGCAACACACAAGTACACCGCACGCCCGCCCTGTGCACAAACAACATGAGTAAGAGAGCAGGTAGGAACGCGTGATCGCAAAATTCGCTCGACGCTCGCTTCATATACACATCCAACAGCTTCCATCTTGGTATCTATGTGTAGCTAAATGTTCACTTGTTCGAATTATAACTCGGTCCTTTGTTCTTACTTACTCCCGCCAGAGATATCTTGTGAAATCCTGCAGGAAATGTTCTCTCCCTGAAAATGTAAAGAGGACGTATCATCTGTAAATCCCCAACGGCGCTACTTTCGATCGATCACTGTAGTCGTGTGTGTGTGACGTCATGCCCGCGCGCATTATGCTTGGCTTGGTGGGCCTCGAAACAGAGGCTTGGAGCTGCTTGGAGGCATGCAGCAGCTCGTCCCGGCATGCAATGCACCCCTATCTCTCGTGGGAGTATGTAAGAATAAAGGACAGAGTTATAATTCGAACAAGTGAACATTTAGCTACACATAGATACTAAGATGGAAGCTGTTGGATGTGTATTAGTTCTGTGAGGGTGTGAAATGAAGCGAGCGTCGAGCGAATTTTGCGATTACGCTTTCTTACCTGCTCTCTTATTCATGTTGTTTGTGCACAGGGCGGGCGTGCGGTGTACTTGTGTGTTGCAGATGAGCATTTGACCGGCATTTACGGGTAATTATTGGCAATAATAAGCGAAATAGAGTAGAGAAACATTAAGACTTGGTAGTAAATACATTTCGTGTTTATTTACCTTTTTTTTTTTTTATTGAGACGTTCCAAGTGCCTGTGGCCCATAGTGCAATAGTGGCCCTCATAGGGTCTATGTCCTCCAGGGTATTATCGGAGGGTACCCTGGGTACAGTTTGATATATCGGAACATACCCTGGTAACTATCTGATATGGTTAGGGTTAGGGAGTAGGCGTAGGCGACTCCCTAGACTCGTTAGTGGAGTAGGCGAGGTACGGTCCGGCATATTAGATAGTACCAGGGTATGTTCCGATATATCGAACCGTTCCCAGGGAACCCTCCGATAGTACCCTGGGGGACATAGACCCGCTCAGCATTAGTGGCTGCTACTGCTAGTCTGTTTCTGTTAGTCACTATTCAGTATTAGTGTTAGTGTTCAGCCTAGTTACTAAGTTACTACTACTAGGCGGTGGGCACATCGATTTGTGTTTCAGCTGCTGAATGCTGTACTGACAGTGACACTATTTTAGTAACGTGCTTTGGAACTCATTAGGTTAAGGGTGATATGAGGGATGAGGAGAGGGTGATGAAGATAATGATTTCAGGGGCGTAGCTAACTCATTCTGCTTGGGGTTCAGGGCAAAGCTACGTGCAGGTTGGGTTCTAGGTAGCTGACCACGTAATCCTAATTAATAGAGGATCGAGGATAGAGCGTGAGATCAATGAAGAGGAAAGGATAGACTCCAGCACAGAAGAAACTTGAAGTTGATGATTCTGGACTGGAAAACTAACTCTGAACTTTTTAATAGTATCCGAGGCAACTGCTAGATATGGCCCTGGATTTGATATACTCCTGTTGCCCATGGTAGGATCACTGAGCATTTGAATAGAGGTAGTTTTAATGTAGAACTGTAAGTTGAATCATTCTATAATTATAATTGTAATCGTAGTTGCACGCACACATTCTACCTTCACGTTCTAGCTTTGTAATTGTAGCAACTTCACTTACTGCTTTGCTAGACACGAAGACTTAAAGACAATGTTGGACAGCAACAAGGATGGACTTAAACTAGAGGCAATGAAGCGCATCATAGGGGTGAGTCGGTGCTGGTGGTGTGCGATGGATGTAGACCTTCGTATTTACGTCGTTAGTACCAGAGTTTCACCGCATGAAAAAACCGTGTTTTAGGTTATTTCATTCATATCTTACTTCTTACATTAAAATTAAATACTTGACACCTCATCATTGTTCGTTAGGTGTCGATCGGTGGATATTCGCGACGTGCTGCTGTAACAATTTTGATTTATCATGATATGCATTACATTGCTAGGACACAAATGTTTTAGGCATTTGAGACGCCCGCTTTCGTAATCGTAGCTATTGCGCTGTTTGAATGTGGTGTTGCAGATGATCGCCAAAGGCAAGGATGCATCCGATCTCTTCCCAGCTGTAGTGAAGAATGTTGTGTCTAAGAACATCGAGGTATAGCCACTGTCGTATTGTCTTTGTTTCATTGTTATTCTGCTTTGTAATCACTGGAGAGATATAGATTTACCTTACAATGGTGTTGCCGTTTGTGAATATGGGGTATATATGTGAGTGTTTTACCCCTTATATGCTTATTTTCAAACCATATACCAAAGACCAGTATTTTGTATTGTGTACTTTCCCATCCCATCATTCATCAAGTGGCAAAATCAGTGTCGATCAGTTCATTGTGGTTGAGCGATGGCCTAATGGTAGTGTAATCGGAAGTGTATGTGCAGAAGTATTGGGGTTTGAGTACCACTGTGGTCGCTGCTGTTGCGCCCTTGAAGAACGGCACTTTATTTAGTTTCACTTTAGTTGGGACTTGCTGAAGAAAAATAGGCTTCTCCCGCCGACGTGAGGCTAACAAGTTCACTAGTGACAAGCCTTGATGCTTGATTAGACTAGGGAGAATGGCGCGCGACAGCGACGTTTTAACGTGTGTTTCTGTAACGTTGACATACAGGTGAAGAAGCTGGTATACGTGTATCTTGTACGCTACGCAGAGGAGCAGCAGGACCTGGCTCTCCTCTCTATCAGCACGTTCCAACGAGGCCTCAAGGTGAATACCTCACCCCGTGCAGATACAACACAACATCGACCCTGCTTTGCATTGCAGAGGTCAAAATTAAGAAACAATTGCTGAATTTCTTTGGAAACGTTGCAGCCAAAATGTACTTTTGAGTAGGATTTCTAGGTAAAATGAACTGCAAAGAGCATAACAGCTACTTCTAGTATATATATATATATATATATATATATATACATTCATATATAAATATGAATATCAATATATATATATCTCAATCTCAGTTTCTGCTGACAAGTCTGTTAATTTGCTCTTCTGTAGCCCATAACGGCAGCATCAAATTTCGGTAATTCTCATGCTTGCTAGATTAGTAATCCGCCAACAGACAATACAACTTCACTACATATTTCTATTTTTCGTTTGCATGAACTCTGTCAGGTTTGAGCAGGTACGCTGGCATTATCAGCTACTGTTCTTAATATTTATTAGACATATTAATTAAGTGCAAGTCTTCTGTGACGGTTGTTACGTCCGTGGGATTTATTCTGTGTCTTTGTCGTCGTGTTTAAGGATCCGAACCAGCTGATCCGTGCGAGTGCACTGCGTGTGCTCTCCAGCATCCGTGTGCCAGTCATCACGCCGATCATGATGCTTGCCATCAAGGAATCAGTGACCGACATGTCTCCGTTTGTGCGCAAGACGGCTGCACACGCGATACCCAAGCTGCACAGGTGCATGCACACGCACATCCATCGTCGTGACTACTGAATAAAATGCTGAATGATAATAATAAATAAATAAATAAATAAATATATATATATATATATAATAATGTAAAATATATAATAAATAATAAATATAGATAATAAATATATAATATAATGAATATAAAACGCCAGTCCTAATTCAAACTATAACACTCATTTCTCTTCCACCAACGCACCCTGAGTACTAATAACTCTAGCCCTAATTTTAACTGTGACCCGCCTCCCTCTCCCACGAACTCTCCGTGTTTCAGCAGGCATGTGTATCATGCAGAGTAGAGTCGACTTACTAATGGCGGATTTGTCATGTTTTTTCCATGCAGCCTCGATCCAGAGCAGAAGGAATTCTGTGTGGAAATCATCGAGAAACTGCTATCGGACAAAACAACGGTATGACACTTTCACTGACACGAAACCTGCATTTATCACTCAAGTCATCACACATATTCACAAATTAATGCATGGACACTTTATTTTAATTCTTTATGAATTTCTATGCGTCCCTAAATGCAATTTCAAGAATTCAGAAAGTGAAGGGTCACCCACCAATATGCAGGCTGGGTGTACTCCAATTTTTTGGACTAGTGAATATGGTTGTGATTGAATAGATTTTGACTGTATGACTTCAATTTCGAAGCACTTCATTCCATTCTTACCATCAGAAATTTTTGCCTTGTACTGGAAAAATCTGTCCTACAGTGATGAAAGGGTGAGGTAGGGAGGGCTGAATCCCTGAACCCACCTTCTGGATCTATATCCCCACATCATTTGTGTATACTTTCATGCCATTGCATAAGCGTTTCTATCTAGTCCCCCGTATCACCCAAAAACAACCACTGCTGAATGAAAAGAGTTGCGTGTTGAATTTGTAATCTGAACAAAACTGAACAGCTTGAGTTCAATGTTCAAGAGTGAGTCGTCAAGGGGGGGCATGTTCAAAGGCGGGCATGCACAAGTCAGTTTCAGTTCCCACACATGTAGATTACTGAGTGTCGCATCTCCCTCTCTCTCTCTGTCCCTCCCTCCACCCCTCCCTCCCTCCCTCCCTCCCTCTCTCTCTCTCTCTCTTTGACTCACGCACGCACACGCACACACACACACACATGCGGAGAGACCAGATCCAGCTCCTGCACACATACATTAGCAATCGTTGCATCTTTCTCTCTTTCTCTCACGCACACACGCACAGAGAGAGACCAGATCCAGCTCCTGCACACATACATTAGCAATCGTTGCATCTTTCTCTCTTTCTCTCTCCCACGCACACACATACATTACAAATCATCACATCTTTCTGTCTTTCTCACACACGCACACATACGTTAACAAGGATTGCATCTTGCTCTGTTTCTCTCTCCCACACGCACAGAGAGAGACCAGTTCCAGCTCGGCACACTCTCTCACTTCAACAACGCGAAGGCGAGTGGCTACCAGGAGCTTCCGGACTGGCCGGCGACGGCCGCCGATCCGTCGGTGCGTAACGTCGAGGTGCCGATGCCGTGGTCTGACCCGACCGTCAAGTCGAAGAAGACGACGAAGAAGAAGCAGTCGTTCTACTCGGACAGCGAGCATTCGTCCGAAGGTACGAGCGCGCGGCACACCCCACATACGCTCTCTCTCTCTCTCTCTCGCGCGCTCTCCCTCTCGCGCTCTCACACGCGATCTCTCTCTCGCGCGCTCTCCCTCTCGCGCTCTCACACGCGATCTTTCTCGTACGCTCTCTCGCACGTGCTCTGTCTCACGCTCGCTCCCTCTGGCATGCGCTCTCTCTCGCGCTCGCTCTATCTCTCTCTTGCGCGCTCTCTCTTGCGCGCTCTTTCTCGGCTAGAAAAGTGACAAATGTTAGTCGTTGAACGGCAAAAAATCGATCAGATCGAGCAGAGCACATGCTGCACAGTGTCACGCTCGCGATCTCACTCTTGCTGTCTGTCGGCTAGTAAGCTAATGAATTCAGTCCAAGTCGATGAAGTTTAATGAATGAGTCGACCTGAAGATTTCAATAGTTGAACATGAAGCAGTTAGCTGATCACGTGCGGTATCTAATTTATCGATTGGAACACAAACGCAGTAACTTGTCTGGTATAGAATGGGCACCTGTCTATTAAGGATGCTTGGCCTTTCGCTTGAGCCACAGTTATGCAGTGAAACCATCTCTATAGAACAGACACCTATTTATATAGGACACTTTAAAGGTGTTTCCTACGAGCGACCATTATGCACAGGTTTGTCTGTCACTCACTGTGTGTGTTTGACAGATCACTCCAAGGAAATGCGAAAAGTATGCTTTATAGGCACATGTCTGTTATGTAGAGGTGTTCGCTAATACAGATTGGCGTTTGCAGTTTTACGCGTCCACAATGTGAGCACCCGCGTTGTGTTCGTTAACTTGAGTCTGTCTGTATTTTCGTCAGACTCGTCATCTGGCAGCGACTCCGACAGCGATACGAGTGAAGAGTCGGGAAGCGAGGAGGAGGAGGAGGAGGAAGATGCTGAGGCAGAGGAGGCGGGAAGCAGCAAATCTGGGAAGGATGGAGAGGAGGCGGAGGAGGAGGAAGAGGAGAGCAGCGAGAGTGACGAATCGTCGAGCGAGGCGGAGGATAGCTCCAGCGAGGAGGAGGAATCTGAGGAGGAGCCTGTAGTCGTGGTGAAGCCCAAGAAGGTAAAATAATTGAGTGAACTAAAAGATTCCCAAAAGAAATCAGTTACATTTTGAGATCGATCCAAAGCGTTTACCGAGACGAGCTCGACAGCCGATCTGCTGAACTGCTCATCTGTGTGCATAATTACAGATCTTTTTGTATATATACATAATAACTATTACGAGTGTCCGTATACACCAAGTTGTTCTCAGCGTAGCTAGCACACCTACACCTAGTTAGGCCAGCGAGGGCTGCATTTCATTGCTGACTGAAGGCCGGCCTTCCATGCCCGAAATTTCAACAGGGTAACTTGTCCCCATAGTGACAATCATTGCTTGCATTTGCAGCGACCACCGAAACATGCAAAAGCTCCGAAAAAGGAGGCAGTGGACCTACTGCTGGACCTAGATGATGGTAAGCCACGTTCTTGAGTACAACTGCTGCCGGGACCCGGGGAGGGGGGGCATGCGGTGGGCAATCAGTCGTGTGATGTCATCATGTTAGCTTGTACAAGGTAGGAGTGGAAATTTACACGTTTCCACTTTTCCAGGGTAAACGGGTCTGCTGCCAAAAAAATTGGTGCGATCTTATGGTTGGTCATGCATTACGTCGTCCGTTCTGCGCGTGCAACTGTTGGCGGTTTACTAGCATATCACATGCAACGTGACACGCTCCGTAGCCTATACATGTATCCTAGCATACATAACATAACATACGTGAGATAGCCTATGCATCCTAGCATACATAACTTAACATACGTGACTGCGTAACGTATTATACATAATGCAGTGTATGTAACGTAGCATACGTAATGCAGTGTATGTAACATAGCATATATAACATACTGTACGGCAATGACACATTATTTTGCAGGCAGTGTTACGGCGGTGCAGAAGCAGCAGCAGCAGCAGCAGCAGCAGGTAGTGGCTTGGTGTGGCAGCAGACCACCCAGGGGCCGTGCGCCCGTTGTGTTTATAGCAGCTTGTGTGTGTGAGAAGTTTCATTGACTCACCGACGAAGCTCTCTCTCCTGCATGGCATTTACCTCAATAACTCGCTTGCGACACAGATGCATCTTATTCCTCTATGCTATGGAACAATGTTTTGCATCTGCTGCTGCCATGCCTGCTGTTGCTGCTACTTTGCTCCAGCTACTCTGCCCCAGCTCTATGCTTATGGTTTGACGTTTTGTATTGTAGTGCCGAGTGTGGCTGTGTCCCCCTTCCTGAAGCCAGGTGAAACGTTAACCCCCTCCCTCCTCTCTAGTGGGAGTACATCTGAGAAGACATCAACTATGCAACTAACAGTATGTATTCTGCACAGAGACACGCACACGCTCTGTGGGGGAGCCTGATGCTGAGGCGCGGAGGGTGAGAGATCGCCTGAAATGTGTAATAACAGAAGGGCTTCAGTAGCGGTTCTCCTTAACCCTGCCCCGCTACTACCCCTCCCATGTTCCTATTATGTGACCCTTTCCCTACCCGCTTCTCTCCCCCACCACCTGTCTTCCTGTTGCATAACCATCCCCCTGCTCGCTCTCTTTCTACTGTGCTGTTGCCAATACATTCATCAGCTCTCTTTTTTTATGCTATCGCCATCTCTCTTCCTAGCCCCCTCTCTCTCTTTCTTTCTTTGTCTCTCTCTCTCTCTCTCTTTCTCTCTCTCTGTCTCTGCCTCTCTCTCTCTCTCTCAGTCATCTATTTGCATCGTACGAAGACTAGTGAATGCTGCATTACTGTGCGATATACCTGTACGTTTGCAATGCTATTTTATTTAGTATTAGAAAGGTTAGTTCTCTTTACAACATATGGAATAACATCTAACCAGAGAGACTGGTTTGCGAACAATGTTTTGAAAATGTTCACTACTGGATGCTCGATTCGAACTAACAATAGTAGTAACAGCGCATAACAACGATAACGGCGGCAGTTACAGCGCGATCACGTAGACTAAAACGTCACGATGTTCAACAAAGACTACGACGTTCCTAACACAACCTCAACACTATTGCATATGTTTCCTCAACAACACTATTGCATCTATCAGATTTTTTTGCCACGAAAAAAGACTGTGTTTAGTGTACGTATTTGCATTTGAATTACATCCAATAAAGATTTAATAAAAATAATAATAATGTTGCGAACGTCGTCACTAGGTGACAGCACCAGCGCACGTGCCGACGCGAACGCACGAGCTGCTGAATCGGATGGCAGGCGCGGGTCTGTCGGTGAGCTACCGGTTCACGCGCGGGGAGAACATTTACTCTGCCAGCATGGTGACAGTCGAACTGACGCTAACAAACCACAGTGACAATGACATCAAGAAGATCTCACTGAGCCAGAAGGTAAGCGTGTGCACCTGTTGATGGCAGCTGATTTATGAGTGACCTGGTGACGCTCATGTGTGTGCGTATGCGTGTGCGTGTGCGTATGCGTGTGTGTGTGTGTATATTTTATTATTCTCATACATTTTATTATTTGATTGTCTTGAGAATTAATTGTATGGTGTTGGTCGGTGCAGCGATGAAGTATATTTTTGTAATGCACGTTTGTAATAGTTTCGTGAAGCCAACATGCAATAGTTTCATCCTGCACAATTGCAGAAATCATCACCAGGAATGGAGTTGAAAAGCTTTCCTGAAATCGGTGAGTCTGTGAACTGAGTGTGAGTGAGAGTGTGTTGGCATGTATTGTAGTATCTCCTCTAATGGACAAGATAGGCTCCTGAGGCTTCTGTACACTGAGCAAATCATTCATTACCAGCACATTGATTATGTAGCATGATTAGGGTGCTACTCACCCAAGGGCTGTTGTCAGAAAAATTGTGGCTCTATGATAATGATTCGTACAGTGGTCGCTGCTTTATTGAGACTGGTTGGAAACAATGGAAATGAACCAATTTTCAGTCGCACGTGCATGTCCACTTGTACCTCATGCGATCATCTGTTACACACAAGTTTATCCATAAAAATGTTTTGTGAGGTCATTATGTCAAGAATCGACTAAAAAGCTGAGAATTGTCAATTTGTTTTTAAGTTTAGGATCGTTTTACAAAGTTCACTGAAGAAAAGAAGTTTGTTCTGCAGAAAATATCCCATTTAACCGAGGTCGTGTCCCCTTTTATCTGATTATAATAGCATGCGTACGTTTCGTTTTTCAAAAACGTTGTTTAAGCAATGTGTGGCTTTAAATACGAAGTCCGATAAATCAGAGACCAATGTAATAATTATTACATATCAAAACAACGATGGCTGCCGTGGACAAACCGCACAAGGACGAACAATGTGATCACTAATGATTCTTCATTTATGTATCGAGCCATGTAGTAACATGATACAATATTTAATAATATGCGACAGCAACACAGTCTGAACCAGTGCTTCTTAAATTGGTGAGTGGTTCACCCAAGGGTGAATGAAATTATTTTGGGGTGAATGAAACTTACCAAAAACACAAGGAAATTAAGCCGCGGGTGAATGAAATTTTGTGATAAAGACTCGACGATGAATGACACTGAAATAGTTTAAGAAGCACTGGTCTAAACTACTTACGCAACAGACCAATGACGGCCGTGCGTGCGCCCTTGACGTTTACAGAGTGCCTGGCCGTCGGCGAATTGCGCAGCGCGACGATCGGCATCGACTACGCCGACACGACGCAGCCGGCTGTGCTCGAGGTCGTCGTCGCGGCAACGGGAAGCCACGCCGTGAGTCTGCCGGCGCCCGTCGGAGAGCAGCTGCAGCCGATCATCATCACCGACAACGACTTCCGGCTGCAGCAAGGTGACGATGCATCTTTATTGAGATGCAACTTTATTGATACAGTCGAGTCTTCATTCGAACAATCCTTAGTCTCAATCTTCGTTGGCGGAACCACACCGAGTTAAGTAGGGTTTACACTTCCACTTTATGTTGGCAAATTGGCAAGTTGGACCAATTTCGCAATTCGGCAACTCCGAGTTGGCGAAAATAGAACATGTTCTAATCTCCCAACTAGTTGCTATCGATCGGTTGGTCGCACAACTTTTGCGTTTACACTGCCGATTATCGGTTATATAGTTGGGAAGTTGGTCCAATTCGCCTAATCGCCAACACAAAGTCGGTAGTGTAAACCCTTTATGCTCACCCGTTCAACTTATTGGTGTAGCCTTCATTCTTGCAATCTTCCATCTCAATATACTGTTTATCGCTAACTTTATAGCTCGATGGCATAGATTGATGAGTTTGTCTAACCCACATGTGTTAATGGCAGTGGATCTGCATCCCCATAGAGATGTCCCAAGCCTCCACTCCACATGTCTTTCAATCTCAACCATTGTTCTTGCAATTTTCAATCGATCTTCTTTCTCACAATCTTTCAAGCTCAAACCTTCAAACTCAATCTTCATTCTTGCAATCTTCAAACTCAATCTTTGTTCCTGCAATCTTCAATCTTGCAATCTTCAAACTCAATCTTCGTTCCTGCTATCTTCTTTCTTACAATCCTCAAACTCAATCTTCGTTCATGCAATCTTCATTCTTACAATCTTCAAACGATCTTCGTTTCGATCTTCGTTCCTGCAATCTTCAATCTCAATCTTCATTCTTGCAGCCAAGCTGAAGGGCATGAACGAGAACACGGGCAGCGCGGCCCTGCCCCCTGCGGCAGCTGCGGCAGCAGCAGCAGCGAGCGGTAGGGAGGCAGGTGGAGGAGGCAGCGAGGCGTGGCTGCGGCAGCGCGTCTACGACGTTGCCAACCTCGCGCCCGTCCCTGCCCCCGACCTCTCGACGCTGCACTTTGCCGCGCGCACGCGCGCCTCGCACGCCTTCGTGCTCGTCTCCGTGCGCGTCGCCGACGGCAACGCTGCCGCCTCCGTCGTCGTGCACTGCGAGAAGATGGTCGTCGGATCGATGCTGCTGAAGGAGATAACGAAGTCGTTATGCGCCGCGTGATCGTCGTGCGGGATGCGGCGGGGAGGGGGGGGGGTCGAGGTCCCGGAAGCCGAGAAGGAATTGTGCGGACGACAGGGGGTTGTCTTGGATGCTGCGGAGTCATTCCTGATGCTGGGAAGGCATCCTAGATGCTGGGAACTCGTCCCTGATGCTGGCAAGAGATTCTGGATGCTGGAAAGAGATCCCGGATGCTGAGTCCAATTGCAATTTTGTGTGGGAACGGATCGGGCCCGCTTTTCTGCAGTCCTGCGTTGTCTGTGCAGAAGGAGCTGCCGCGCGTTCGTTCGTGGCGCCGAACGCATGAGAGGTGCTTTCCTCCTCCCTGTGTGGCTTGTAGTGTAATCAGTCAGGCAATGGAACACGCGCAGCGGGTGAGTGATCACAGGTGAGATGGGGTGTGGCGGGTGAGTGATCACAGGTGAGACGGGGTGTGGCGGGTTAGTGATTACAGGTGAGACGGGGTGTGGCGGGTGAGTGATCACAGGTGAGACGGGGTGTGGCGGGTGAGTGATTACAGGTGAGACGGGGTGTGGCGGGTGAGTGATCACAGGTGAGACAGATGAGTGTGGCAGATGAGTGTCCCGGAGAGAGTCACCCTCACCCCCTCTACCAGCTTATTTTCACCGTGACCCTTTCTACCAGCTTATCCTTGCCCTCACCCTCCACTAGCTCACCCTTACATTGCACTAGCCCACCCTCACTCTCACTCAAACAACCCGTATTGTTTCTTGCAGGGAGATTCAGTCGGTCGTGCTCAGTAACATCGCTACCATGACGACGACTCGCAAGGTGAGAGCAGCTTCAGTTTCACACGCCGTGTCACGTCGTCGCTCGCTCGCGCGCGCGAGAGCTACGCGCGCAGGGGCCAGCAGCGGCGAGAGGCGTTTGCGCGTAGAGGGCAGCAGCGGTAGCGCCCCCTGCTCTCGTCGCACGCTCGGCCCCGGCCACGCGCGTTGTTGCGCATTCCGTCTCTAACACCCTCTGGCATTTCAGGAATCGCAGGCAGGTAGTAGCAGCAGCGCAAACACACGCGTGTACATGGTAAGCAGACTCGTAAACGACGACGCAGCATCGTCCGGCGGCAGGCATAACAAACACGTAGATTGGCTGCTGGGTTCCGTAGTGGCGAGCATTGTGTTCGCCATCTCCTTCGCTCTCTCCTTCTCCTCGACGATACGCTATTCTATCTAGCCATGTGTGAGTCTGCTGCTAACTGTCGTGTCCACTGTACTCGTCGTCGCCACGGTAACCACCCCCAGCGTGACTCCGGCGTATGACCGCAGAGTTCGCTCGCTCGTGGCGAGAAATTAACATGGGCATACCTATCGTGAAATCTAATGCTTTAACATGTAGCGCGTAGTAGGAGCACCAGTAGTAGGCAGTAGAAGTAGGTGTACACATAACCAGCAAGCACTTCCAGCTTCTGATAACCCTCGATTAATTCTTATCCGTAACACGAGTGGCAAGCGCGGGTTGAGCCGGCTATAAGAGGTGGGGGGGTTTGTGGTGTAGGGTTTCTTCCTCGTGTTCTCGGTGCGCTGTGGGTTCGTACGTGCGACGATATGGTGCGACGCTATTGAACTACGTCCCCTCCCATCTTCCCTCCCGTTGTATATGTTATTGTCTGGCCCCTGTCTTATTGGTCCCTCCTTACTTACTGTGGCATTTCAAAATCTGACTGATTTGCAATGAACTGCAGTGGTTGTCCTTACTTACTGTGGCACTTCAAAATCTGACTGCTGTCCACTGCAATGAATTGCAGTGGTTGTCCTTCCAATAAATACCGTTTTTGTATTACCGTGTCCCTTGCTCACCCACATAAAAGTGTTGATGAAAAGTATTTTGCCCCGATCACCCTTCTTTGGAGGTAGCGTTGGAGTGGATTGCCACGGTGATGCTCCAACTTGCATTGTGCCCCAAGGTTTCTGTTTAAATCGAAGGTAAAACTTGCCGTGCCCTTAAATAATTCAAATTTGACCCCCTGAGCTGAGACGTGTGTGGTTGTATGTGAGACATCGTCAACTCTTCCATCGCCATGTAGTCTCACGTGCGCAACGCACGCATGCACGCATGCAGCGGTCGCACGCGGGATTCTAGTCCACCTCATGAGCGGACTGTGGTTGCACGCGGGGAAGCACGTGGTTGAACCAAACACTGTCAACACTCGATACTAACACTGCGTCTTTGGTGGTTGGCTATGTGTGTATTTGTGTGTGGGTGTGTGTGTGTTTGTGCGTGCGTGCGTGCGTGCGTGCGTGAGTGCGTGCGTGCGTGCGTGTGTAGTCACAGGGTATGTTCGTACTGTCTCGTATATGTTTTCATTGAGTATTGGCATCAACAGTTTATGTCAGACAGCATACATCTAGGATCATTCTGATCTAGTCAATCATTGATGAAACAGTAACGTACTATTAATGTATGTCATTTGAGCCCGTGATATTTCAATTAAATGTAATGTATCTATGCTATCTATGCATATATATAAGTATATGTATTTGTACATGTATATGTATGTATGTATGCTTATGTGTGTGTGTGTGTGTGTGTGTCTACGTGCGTGTGCTTATACATTATGTATGTATGCTTATCCTATGTATAAATAAGTGTAAAATCTGCTATTGCTAAAGGTAAGTCTGGAATAATACCTTAGATAATGTAACATGCATCGGTACTATGTAACTAGTCACTCTTATGTATCCCACGGGGCAAACATCTCACATGTTATCAACATGTTATGGCATAACCCGTACATTACAATATAGCAATACCATTACATAACCTTGGCATATTATAAACACCCCAGTGTCTACTGTATGGAGAGAATCACTGTGGAAACCATGGTAACAGCTGAAACCATGGAAACGTCGCCACAGAACATGTTCTTTCTGAGGTTGTGTCGGCAGTAACCGTGGTAACTGTGGCTACGTTGATGAAAAGCAGGTCGTTGCTGCGCTTGTGTGCGGTGCTATCTGTGGTAACCATGGCGACGCCGTTGCAGAGCATGTTTGAGCCGTACCTGAAGAGCTTCTTTGTGCGGCCGATGGATCCGACCCACATCAAGCTGCTGAAGCTGGAGATTCTAACGAACCTACTTTGACTCACGCACGCACACGCACACACACACACACATGCGGAGAGACCAGTTCCAGCTCCTGCACACATACATTACCAATTGTTGCATCTTTCTCTCTTTCTCTCACGCACACACGCACAGAGAGAGACCAGATCCAGCTCCTGCACACATACATTAGCAATCGTTGCATCTTTCTCTCTTTCTCGCTCCCACGCACACACATACATTACAAATCATCACATCTTTCTGTCTTTCTCACACACGCACACATACGTTAACAAGGATTGCATCTTGCTCTGTTTCTCTCTCCCACACGCACAGAGAGAGACCAGTTCCAGCTCGGCACACTCTCTCACTTCAACAACGCGAAGGCGAGTGGCTACCAGGAGCTTCCGGACTGGCCGGCGACGGCCGCCGATCCGTCGGTGCGTAACGTCGAGGTGCCGATGCCGTGGTCTGACCCAACCGTCAAGTCGAAGAAGACGACGAAGAAGAAGCAGTCGTTCTACTCGGACAGCGAGCATTCGTCCGAAGGTACGAGCGCACGGCACACCCCACATACGCTCTCTCTCTCTCTCTCTCTCTCTCTCTCTCGCGTGCTCTCTCTCACGCGCTCTCCCTTTCGCGCGTGCTCTCTCTCGCGCTCTCACACGCGATCTTTCTCGTGCGCCCTCTCTCTCGCACGCGCTCTGTCTCACGCTCGCTCCCTCTCGCACGCGCTCCCTCTCGCATGCGCTCTCTCTCGCGCTCGCTCTATCTCTCTCTTGCGCGCTCTTTCTCGGCTAGAAAAGTGACAAATGTTAGTCGTTGAACTGCAAAAAATCGATCAGATTGATCAGAGAACATGCTGCACAGTGTCACGCTCGCGATCTCACTCTTGCTGTCTGTCAGCTAGTAAGCTAATGAATTCAGTCCAAGTCGATGAAGTTTAATGAATGAGTCGACCTGAAGATTTCAATAGTTGAACATGAAGCAGTTAGCTGATCACGTGCGGTATCTAATTTATCGATTGGAACACAAACGCAGTAACTTGTCTGGTATAGAATGGGCACCTGTCTATTAAGGATGCTTGGCCTTTCGCTTGAGCCACAGTTATGCAGTGAAACCATCTCTATAGAACAGACACCTATTTATATAGGACACTTTAAAGGTGTTTCCTACGAGCGACCATTATGCACAGGTTTGTCTGTCACTCACTGTGTGTGTTTGACAGATCACTCCAAGGAAATGCGAAAAGTATGCTTTATAGGCACATGTCTGTTATGTAGAGGTGTTCGCTAATACAGATTGGCGTTTGCAGTTTTACGCGTCCACAATGTGAGCACCCGCGTTGTGTTCGTTAACTTGAGTCTGTCTGTATTTTCGTCAGACTCGTCATCTGGCAGCGACTCCGACAGCGATACGAGTGAAGAGTCGGGAAGCGAGGAGGAGGAGGAGGAGGAAGATGCTGAGGCAGAGGAGGCGGGAAGCAGCAAATCTGGGAAGGATGGAGAGGAGGCGGAGGAGGAGGAAGAGGAGAGCAGCGAGAGTGACGAATCGTCGAGCGAGGCGGAGGATAGCTCCAGCGAGGAGGAGGAATCTGAGGAGGAGCCTGTAGTCGTGGTGAAGCCCAAGAAGGTAAAATAATTGAGTGAACTAAAAGATTCCCAAAAGAAATCAGTTACATTTTGAGATCGATCCAAAGCGTTTACCGAGACGAGCTCGACAGCCGATCTGCTGAACTGCTCATCTGTGTGCATAATTACAGATCTTTTTGTATATATACATAATAACTATTACGAGTGTCCGTATACACCAAGTTGTTCTCAGCGTAGCTAGCACACCTACACCTAGTTAGGCCAGCGAGGGCTGCATTTCATTGCTGACTGAAGGCCGGCCTTCCATGCCCGAAATTTCAACAGGGTAACTTGTCCCCATAGTGACAATCATTGCTTGCATTTGCAGCGACCACCGAAACATGCAAAAGCTCCGAAAAAGGAGGCAGTGGACCTACTGCTGGACCTAGATGATGGTAAGCCACGTTCTTGAGTACAACTGCTGCCGGGACCCGGGGAGGGGGGGCATGCGGTGGGCAATCAGTCGTGTGATGTCATCATGTTAGCTTGTACAAGGTAGGAGTGGAAATTTACACGTTTCCACTTTTCCAGGGTAAACGGGTCTGCTGCCAAAAAAATTGGTGCGATCTTATGGTTGGTCATGCATTACGTCGTCCGTTCTGCGCGTGCAACTGTTGGCGGTTTACTAGCATATCACATGCAACGTGACACGCTCCGTAGCCTATACATGTATCCTAGCATACATAACATAACATACGTGAGATAGCCTATGCATCCTAGCATACATAACTTAACATACGTGACTGCGTAACGTATTATACATAATGCAGTGTATGTAACGTAGCATACGTAATGCAGTGTATGTAACATAGCATATATAACATACTGTACGGCAATGACACATTATTTTGCAGGCAGTGTTACGGCGGTGCAGAAGCAGCAGCAGCAGCAGCAGCAGCAGGTAGTGGCTTGGTGTGGCAGCAGACCACCCAGGGGCCGTGCGCCCGTTGTGTTTATAGCAGCTTGTGTGTGTGAGAAGTTTCATTGACTCACCGACGAAGCTCTCTCTCCTGCATGGCATTTACCTCAATAACTCGCTTGCGACACAGATGCATCTTATTCCTCTATGCTATGGAACAATGTTTTGCATCTGCTGCTGCCATGCCTGCTGTTGCTGCTACTTTGCTCCAGCTACTCTGCCCCAGCTCTATGCTTATGGTTTGACGTTTTGTATTGTAGTGCCGAGTGTGGCTGTGTCCCCCTTCCTGAAGCCAGGTGAAACGTTAACCCCCTCCCTCCTCTCTAGTGGGAGTACATCTGAGAAGACATCAACTATGCAACTAACAGTATGTATTCTGCACAGAGACACGCACACGCTCTGTGGGGGAGCCTGATGCTGAGGCGCGGAGGGTGAGAGATCGCCTGAAATGTGTAATAACAGAAGGGCTTCAGTAGCGGTTCTCCTTAACCCTGCCCCGCTACTACCCCTCCCATGTTCCTATTATGTGACCCTTTCCCTACCCGCTTCTCTCCCCCACCACCTGTCTTCCTGTTGCATAACCATCCCCCTGCTCGCTCTCTTTCTACTGTGCTGTTGCCAATACATTCATCAGCTCTCTTTTTTTATGCTATCGCCATCTCTCTTCCTAGCCCCCTCTCTCTCTTTCTTTCTTTGTCTCTCTCTCTCTCTCTCTTTCTCTCTCTCTGTCTCTGCCTCTCTCTCTCTCTCTCAGTCATCTATTTGCATCGTACGAAGACTAGTGAATGCTGCATTACTGTGCGATATACCTGTACGTTTGCAATGCTATTTTATTTAGTATTAGAAAGGTTAGTTCTCTTTACAACATATGGAATAACATCTAACCAGAGAGACTGGTTTGCGAACAATGTTTTGAAAATGTTCACTACTGGATGCTCGATTCGAACTAACAATAGTAGTAACAGCGCATAACAACGATAACGGCGGCAGTTACAGCGCGATCACGTAGACTAAAACGTCACGATGTTCAACAAAGACTACGACGTTCCTAACACAACCTCAACACTATTGCATATGTTTCCTCAACAACACTATTGCATCTATCAGATTTTTTTGCCACGAAAAAAGACTGTGTTTAGTGTACGTATTTGCATTTGAATTACATCCAATAAAGATTTAATAAAAATAATAATAATGTTGCGAACGTCGTCACTAGGTGACAGCACCAGCGCACGTGCCGACGCGAACGCACGAGCTGCTGAATCGGATGGCAGGCGCGGGTCTGTCGGTGAGCTACCGGTTCACGCGCGGGGAGAACATTTACTCTGCCAGCATGGTGACAGTCGAACTGACGCTAACAAACCACAGTGACAATGACATCAAGAAGATCTCACTGAGCCAGAAGGTAAGCGTGTGCACCTGTTGATGGCAGCTGATTTATGAGTGACCTGGTGACGCTCATGTGTGTGCGTGTGCGTGTGCGTGTGCGTGTGCGTGTGTGTGTGTGTATATTTTATTATTCTCATACATTTTATTATTTGATTGTCTTGAGAATTAATTGTATGGTGTTGGTCGGTGCAGCGATGAAGTATATTTTTGTGATGCACGTTAGACGTTTGTAATAGTTTCGTGAAGCCAATATGCAATAGTTTCATCCTGCACAATTGCAGAAATCATCACCAGGAATGGAGTTGAAAAGCTTTCCTGAAATCGGTGAGTCTGTGAACTGAGTGTGAGTGAGAGTGTGTTGGCATGTATTGTAGTATCTCCTCTAATGGACAAGATAGGCTCCTGAGGCTTCTGTACACTGAGCAAATCATTCATTACCAGCACATTGATTATGTAGCATGATTAGGGTGTCACTCACCCAAGGGCTGTTGTCAGAAAAATTGTGGCTCTATGATAACGATTCGTACAGTGGTCGCTGCTTTATTGAGACTGTTTGGAAACAATGGAAATGAACCAATTTTCAGTCGCACGTGCATGTCCACTTGTACCTCATGCGATCATCTGTACACACAAGTTTATCCATTAAAATGTTTTCTGAGGTCATTATGTCAAGAATCGACTAAAAAGCTGAGAATTGTCAGTTTGTTTTTAAGTTTAGGATCGTTTTACAAAGTTCACTGAAGAAAAGAAGTTTGTTCTGCAGAAAATATCCCATTTAACCGAGTTCGTGTCCCCTTTTATCTGATTATAATAGCATGCATACGGTTCGTTTTTCAAAAACGTTGTTTAAGCAATGTGTGGCTTTAAATACAAAGTCCGATAAATCAGAGACCAATGGTATAATTATTACATATCAAAACAACGATGGCTGCCGTGGACAAACCGCACAAGGACGAACAATGGGATCACTAATGATTCTTCATTTACGTATCGAGCCATGTAGTAACATGATACAATATTAAATAATATGCGACAGCAACACAGTCTGAACCAGTGCTTCTTAAATTGGTGAGTGGTTTACCCAAGGGTGAATGAAATTATTTTGGGATGAATGAAACTTACCAAAAACACAAGGAAATTAAGCCGCGGGTGAATGAAATTTTGTGATAAAGACTCGACGATGAATGACACTGAAATAGTTTAAGAAGCACTGGTCTAAACTACTTACGCAACAGACCAATCACGGCCGTGCGTGCGCGCTTGACGTTTACAGAGTGCCTGGCCGTCGGCGAATCACGCAGTGCGACGATCGGCATCGACTACGCCGACACGACGCAGCCGGCTGTGCTCGAGGTCGTCGTCGCGGCAACGGGAAGCCACGCCGTGAGTTTGCCGGCGCCCGTCGGAGAGCAGCTGCAGCCGATCATCATCACCGACAACGACTTCCGGCTGCAGCAAGGTGACGATGCATCCTTATTGAGATGCAACTTTATTGATGCAGTCGTGTCTTCATTCGAACAATCCTTAGTCTCAATCTTCGGTGGCGGAACCACACCGAGTTAAGTAGGGTTTACACTACCACTTTATGTTGGCAAATTGGCAAGTTGGACCAATTTCGCAATTCGGCAACTCTGAGTTGGCGAAAATAGAACATGTTCTAATCTCCCAACTAGTTGCTATCGATCGGTTGGTCGCACAAATTTTGCGTTTACACTGCCGATTGTCGGTTGTATAGTTGGGAAGTTGGTCTAATTCGCCTAATCGCCAACACAAAGTCGGTAGTGTAAACCCTTTATGCTCACCCGTTCAACTTATTGGTGTAGCCTTCATTCTTGCAATCTTCCATCTCAATATACTGTTTATCGCTAACTTTATAGCTCGATGGCATAGATTGATGAGTTTGTCTAACCCACATGTGTTAATGGCAGTGGATCTGCATCCCCATAGAGATGTCCCAAGCCTCCACTCCACATGTCTTTCAATCTCAACCATTGTTCTTGGAATTTTCAATCGATCTTCTTTCTCACAATCTTTCAAGCTCAAACCTTCAAACTCAATCTTCATTCTTGCAATCTTCAAACTCAATCTTTGTTCCTGCAATCTTCAATCTTGCAATCTTCAAACTCAATCTTCGTTCCTGCTATCTTCTTTCTTACAATCCTCAAACTCAATCTTCGTTCATGCAATCTTCATTCTTACAATCTTCAAACGATCTTCGTTTCGATCTTCGTTCCTGCAATCTTCAATCTCAATCTTCATTCTTGCAGCCAAGCTGAAGGGCATGAACGAGAACACGGGCAGCGCGGCCCTGCCCCCTGCGGCAGCTGCGGCAGCAGCAGCAGCGAGCGGTAGGGAGGCAGGTGGAGGAGGCAGCGAGGCGTGGCTGCGGCAGCGCGTCTACGACGTTGCCAACCTCGCGCCCGTCCCTGCCCCCGACCTCTCGACGCTGCACTTTGCCGCGCGCACGCGCGCCTCGCACGCCTTCGTGCTCGTCTCCGTGCGCGTCGCCGACGGCAACGCTGCCGCCTCCGTCGTCGTGCACTGCGAGAAGATGGTCGTCGGATCGATGCTGCTGAAGGAGATAACGAAGTCGTTATGCGCCGCGTGATCGTCGTGCGAGATGCGATGGGGAGGGGGGGGTGGCGAGGTCCCGGAAGCCGAGGAGGAATTGTGCGGACGACAGGGGGTCATCTCGGATGCTGTCGCAGTCCTCCCGGATGCTGCGGAGTCATTCCTGATGCTGGGAAGGCATCCTAGATGCTGGGAACTCGTCCCTGATGTTGGGAAAAGATCCTGGATGCTGGGAAGAGATCCCGGATGCTGAGTCCAATCGCAATTTTGCGTGGGAACGGATCGGGGCCGCTTTCCTGCAGTCCCGCGTTGTCTGTGCAGCAGGAGCTGCCGCGCGTTCGTTCGTGGCGCCGAACGCATGAGAGGTGCTTTCCTCCTCCCTGTGTGGCTTGTAGTGTAATCAGTCAGGCAATGGAACACGCGCGTTCATTTGTGGGACGCCCTACCGTATCTACGCGTACGGCGTGTGGTGTATTCGGTGAGCTTCCCGCGCAAGGGAGGAGGATGTGAGCGCGGCAGCACATGTACATATCCTTACCTGGAGAAAAACGCCCCGTGAATGCAAAGTTTGTTGTTGTTGTAGTATAAGGTCATATCGAGGCACTTATTTATCATAAGCTACGACGTGCCGAAGCAACCAACTGCATTACGTTGAGTAATATTATCAGATTTCAATTTGTCTTGTAAAATAATTTTGTTTCAGTAAATAATTTTTATTTATCTTGAAATTAAATTATTTTACACAAAGTGCTTACAAGTATGAGAAAAATATGAGCTAAAGAATATTGGTTTTGTCAGAAATACCACAATGTTGAGTATAGTCGAATTAATAGTAAATGTGGCAGATGCTTATTCAATTCTTATATTCATAGATGTGTTGTTTCGTTTTATGTAAAATGGCTCTCTGCAGAATTATAACTATGTCAGCCTAATTAGGAAATCCCCAATAAGTGTGGTGATAACTCGAAACCACTTAAGTTGGAAAGAGGAGGCACCTTTACAAGAAGTAGAACTAATTTTTAGTAAATCTTGGGGCTATGGAATATAATTGTAAAGAAATAATAAGGAGGACGAGAGTGAGAAAAGAAGAAGAGAAAATATGCAAAGAAAAGAGGGCAGGGAAGGAGCGTGAGAGAGCAAGAGTGGGAACAAAAGAGCACTGTTGAAAGGAAAGTGGTGGGAGAGACCGACTGGATTTGTGGACAGTGGATGTAACATTTACCTTACTAATAGTATTCAACTATTCAGCTATAGTATTCAGCTAGTGAGGGTTTAAAGGATAAAGAACCAGGAGACAATTAACAATCATTTATTAGTTAATGTATTTTTCCATGATGCAGTGGTGCTGAACGTGACATTGAATTGTACATTTCAGGAATTATTCTCCTACTGAGAAATGTTGATAATAATCATATTCTTGCTCATTTATCTGATACAATATAATTTACAAAGTGGTCCTTAATATACCATTCCATTATCGCCAGACATCGATATATGTGTGTAGGAATAACAGCAGCAGCATGGCAAGCTGTTCTTGTACGTGGTCTCTGCTGTTTACTTGTTGTAGCTGAGGATATGTGTGTTCATGAGAATGTACACAAACATTCATGTACATGTATACATGTGTGTACAGGTACACATACTTAGGCTGAGAGGGTCTATGTCCCCCAGGGTAATAGGAACACGTACCCACCCCTTCTCACCACTGTTCTGTATATAGTCAAACCTGTGTGAGTGGGTAGGAACACGTACCCACCCCTTCTCACCACTGATCTGTCTGCAGTCAAACCTGTGTTAGTGGGTAGGAACACGTGCCCACCCCTTCTCACCACTGTTCTGTATACAGTCAAACCTGTGTTAGTGGGTAGGAACATGTATTCTGTTCCGTTACCATGGTTACAGACAAACCTGTGCTGGCAGAATCCTTTATAGACACATGTCTGTGTATGAAACTTTGGTCATTTCCCCTAACAGGCAGCTATACAGTTAAACCATCTTGATAGAACAAATATCTATTGGGAGCACTTTTGGCATTTCCTTTAAGAAGTATCCATACAGTGAAACAACATCTATAGAACGAACACCTGTCCGTTAAGTAGGCTCTTGGCTGTGTAGTAAGATGTAGTTGTGGCTGACGACTCGCTCGTCATTTCATATTCGCAGAGGCCGTCGTGGCCGAGAGCGTCGTCGTTGTCAAAAAGCTCCTACAGATGGAGCCGTCGAAACACAAGGACATCATCGTGCACATGGCAAAGCTCGTTGACAAGATCGCCGTGCCGATGGCGCGCGCGAGCATCCTGTGGCTGATCGGCGAGTACGCCGAGAGGGTTCCTAAGATTGCTCCGGACGTGTTGCGCAAGGTTGCCAGGAGCTTTGTGAACGAGGTAGAGAGTAGGAGAGAGAGGGGAGAGGGAGAGAGAGAGAGGAGAGAGAGACGGAGGAGACTGAGAGAGAGAGACGGAGAGAAGGAGAGAGAGAGCAGACGAGAGAGAGAGAGAGAGGAGAAGCGAGAGAGAGAGAGGAGGAGGAGGAGAGAGAGAGGAGAGAGATGCAGAGAGAGAGATCGGAGATGAGCGGAGAGGTAGCAGGAGAGAGAGAGAGAGACGCAGAGAGAGAGAGAGGAGAGGAGAGGAGTAGAGAGGAGAGAGAGAGAGAGAGAGAGAGAGATGATGACAGAGACAGAGAGAAGAGAGAGAGAGAGGAGAGGAGAGAGAGAGAGGAGAAGAGAAAGGAGAGGAGAAGATCAGGTGAAGATGAGAGGAGGAGAGAAGAGAGAGAGAGAGAGAGAGGAGGAGAAGAGAGAGAGAGAGGAGAGAGAGAGAGGAGGAGATGAAAGAGAGGTAGACTGACGATGAGAGAGAGACGAGAGAGAGAGATGAGAGAGAGAGAGACGAGAGAGAGAGACAGAGAGAGAGATCGAGAGAGAAGAGAGAGAGATCCGAAGGAGAGAGAGAGAGAGAAGAGGAGAGAGGGGAGAAGAGAGATAGAGAAAAGACGAGAGCAGAGAGAGACAGAGAGAAGTGAGAGATATGAAGAGAGCAAAGAGAGACAGAGTGACGAGAAGCGAAGAGAGACAAGAGGCAGAGTGAGAGAGAGAGTAGACAGAGAGGAGAGATGAGACGGGAGGGAGGGCAGACAGGGACAAGGGATTGAGAGGGAGAGAGGAGAAAAGAGAGACAAAGAGAGAAAGAATGAGGAGAGAGAGGGAGAGCAAAAGCGAGACCAATAGATGAGAGATAAAAACAAGAGACAAAGGCCAGAGGGACGAGAGAGGGAAGAAAGATAGATAGAGAGAGAGTTGAGACAAGGAGAGAGAGAGAGATTTAAAAGGGGGGGGGAAACCGGTTTAGTGAGTTAGCCTATAGAGAGATGTACGTCTCGAGCGATCAAAGAGAACACGCCTGTACCGTGTAACCCGCCCGCGCATCTCACTCCCCCCACCCCCTGCACAGCACATTTGGCAGCCAGAGCGAAGAAGTTCTACGACTCGTCGCGAGGACGACTCCGGGCGGCGACAACACACTCGACGCGGGCGACGACGCCCGAGGGGCCGCCCGCGCGCGCTCTCACGATGGACGCGGACCACCGCGCTGCTGCTGCGCAACGCCAAGCCGCTGCGCAGAGCCGCAGACGCCAGCCGTCGTGATGCGGCGTCGCCGCAGTGTACCACCACGTCGCGCGAGAAGACGAGGTCGGGCTCGTCGCTGAAGGCGCCGCGTCGTGCGGCTTGGCTGCGCAGTCACAGCGTGACGCAGGTCACAGGCGAGGTGCAGAGTGACAGGTGAGCGTCACAGGTGCAGGTACAAGAGTTGACAGGTGCACGCGTCACAGGGGATGGTCGGCCGAAGTGACAGGTGAAGGTCACAGCTGTAGGCGATGGTGAGCGGTGGCGTCAGCTGTGAGGTGAAAGAAGTGTGACAGCGTGAGCGTTGCAGGAAGTGACAGGTGAGGTGAAGAGCTGACAGGTGCAGGCTCACAAGGTGAGGTGCGGGGGAGGCCAGCGGTTTGCAGGCAGTGGAACAGGTGAGGTGAGGAGTGACAGGGTGAGTTGTGAGTAAGTGGACAGCGTTGAGGTCACAGGTGAGGCTGAAGAAGAGTGACAGTGAGGCTGAGGGAGTGACAGGTGAGGTGAGAAGTGACAGGTGAGGTCACAGGTGAGGTGAAGAAGAGTGACAGGTGAGGCAGGAGGGGCTGGGAATGACAGGTGGAGGCAGTTATGGGGTGAGGGAGTGGAGGTTAGGTCACAGGTGCGGAGGTGAGGGGTGACAGGTTGAGCGTCACAGATTAGTGTGAGAGTGACAGTGTTGAGGGTTCACAGGTGAGGTGAAGTGATCACGGCGGAGACTGGGTGTGGCGGACTTTGTTGAGTGATCACAGGTCGAGACGGTGTGTGTGCGGTCGTGAGTGGTGATCACAGCGTTGAGACGGGGAGCTGTGGCGGCCCGTGAGTGCATCACAGGTGAGAATGGGGTGTGTGCGGAACACACGTGCAGCTGCAGTCACAGGTGAACGGGCCGTGGCGGGTGAGTAGATCCACAGGTGACGACGAGGGGCTGTGGGCAGGGTGAGTGATCACAGGCTGAAGACGGGGTTGTGGCGGTCTCGAGTCGAGTTGACTTACAGGTGAGACGGGGGAGGGGTGTTGGCGTGAGTGGAGTGATCCCAAGCGCTGAGACAGATGAGTGTGCAGGATGAGTGTCGGAGAGAAGTCACCTCACCCTCTACCAGCTTATTTTCAGTGGACCCTTTCTAACCAGCTGTATCCTTGCCCCCTTCACCCTCCACTAGCTCACCGCTTACATTGCACTAGCCCACCCTCACTGCTCACTGCATACAAAACCCGTATTGTTTCTTGCAGGTTAATGTCAGCGGTCGCTGCCAGTAAGACATCGCTACCAGGTGACGACGACTGCGCAATGCGTGAGAGCACTTCAGTTTCACACGCCGTGTCACGGTCGTCGGCTCGCCGGCCTTCTTACGCGCCGCGAGAGCACTACGCGCGCAGGGGCCCAGCGCGGCGAGAGGATTGCGCGCTAGAGGGCCAGCAGCGCGGTACGCGCCGCTGCCCTCTCGGTCGCACGCTCCGCGGCCGGCCACGCGCGTTGTGCGCAATTCGTCTTAACACCTCTTGGCATTTCAGAATCGCTAGGAGGTAGTGTAGCAGCAGCGCAAACACACGCGTGTACATGGGTAAGCAGACTCGTAAACGACGGACGCAGCACTCGTCCGGCGCAGGCATAAACAACACTCTAGATTGGCTGCTGGTCCGATAGTGGCGAGCATTGTCGTTCGCCATCTCCTTCGCTCTCTCCTTCTCCTCGACGATACGCTTATTTTTCTATCTAGCCATGTGTGAGTCTGCTGCTAACTGTCGTCTCCCTGTACTCGTCGTCGCCACGGTAAACACCCCAGCGTGAGACTACGGGCGTAGATGACCGCCACGAGTTCGCTCGCTCGTGGCCGAGGAAATTAACATGGCAATACCTATCGTTGAACATTCATAATGCTTTAACCATGTAGCGCGTAGTAGGGTACCAGTAGTAGGCAGTAGAAATTAGGTACACGTACAGCTCAAGCACTTCCCAGCTTCTGATAACCCATCAGATTAATCTTCTTATCCGTAACACCGAGTGCGCAAGCGCGGGTGAGCTGCGCCTATAAAGAGCGTGGGGGGCTTGTGGTGTAGGGTTTCTTCCTCGTTGTTCTCGGTGCGCTGTGGGTTCGTACGTGCCGACGGTATGGTGCGACGCTATTGAACTACGTCCCCTCCCATCTTCCCTCCCGTCTGTATATGTTATTAGTCTGGCCCCCTGTCTTATTGGTCCCTTCCTTACTTACTGTGGCCATTTCAAAAATTCTGACTTGATTCTGCAATGAACTGCCCAATGGTTGGTCCTACTTACTTGTGGCATTTCAAAATCTGACTGCTGTCCACTGCAATGAATTTGCAAGTGCGTTGTCCTTCAAATAATACCGTTTTGTTATTACCGTGTCCCTTGCTCACCCA